AAAATAACATTTTTTCATAAAATTTTCCATATTTAAAAACAAAATGTAATACCTATGTATTATTATAAATCAATATATTATAAATCTATTATTAATTACTATTATATATATATAAATCTATTATAAATTCATTTAGACCTTTTTGTAAAAAAATTATTTATTTTTATGAAATAATATTTGGCAAAATTCGTGTAAAATTGTGAAAAATATCAGTTGTAAAAAATTAATATAATAGAATCTCTTCTCATCACCCCTTTTTTGCATGTGCACTTACTTGCGTTTGTTTACTTACATTTAATTTTCAAAAGTACATTTGAGTGATTTCAAACAGTATTCTTACAATCTATGAAATATTTTATGTGTTTTTATTAATTATTCGGTTCTCAAATCATTTTTCAATCTTTCTGATTTTTATTGATTAAAGATATAACTTATATCCTTCATTATCCCTGTTATCGTTGAAAGCAAGGAAGTGTGATTTTAACACTTTTTTTTAACTTGTTATGGTAAAGATATATGTATATATATAACTGTTTCTATAATGTCTTTAATATTAAATATTGTATAGTTTAACGTTTTAATCCACAAGAAGTGTAAAAAAATTTCGAATTAATAAAAAACTTTGATGTTGGCAAATACTTTGATTATTTATTCATACAAATTGAATTTGATTGTTTGGTAATTTTTTCAAAAAATATAATAGAAAGAAGTTAAATGTATGTAAACTTATACAATATTATATAGATTTATGAAGTCATTTAACTTAATTATTGTATAATTTAAAAAATATATATTAAATTTACACATATGTGTCGTATAAATATAAATTTTTTCTAAATTTTAAAGATAAAAATCATGTATTTCATATTGCTAGTTTTTTTATTATTAAAATATTAAGCTTCACCTACAATTTATAATGGATATCGGCAATATATTAAAATGACTTTATAATTGTTTTAAATTTTTAAATCTTCATTGTACATTATTACTTAACTTAATTATTCCATTGAAAAAGATTTTTTTAGAAAATGTATATTTCAATATGTAATAAATGTGCTCGTATTTCAATGTTTTTTTTAAGAATACTAAACATTCAATACAATAATTTCCAATACAAATTTCAAAACTTTTTTCAGTAGCTCCACACAGTTAAAATAAATAAAAAGAAATGAAGAATGTGATTATTGGAATAAAATGTGCTTGGGGAGTTTTTATATTGGGAGTTTTTATGTTTGACAATTTTGTTTAATTTTGAAAAATTACGCTTACAAAAAACCTTCAGAGCGGGCATCTTTAATAAAGTCTGCATCGTCTTGGATTTACCGACGCTATTGCTATTGGAGATTATAGTCTGAAATGAGAAACGATGTCTTATCCTACAATAGAGAATTGCATTGTTCGAAATCTTTATACTAGGAGATTTGTTGGTGAAGACTGAAGCTATGAAAGGGGTAGAGGTGAGTATTATCATAGCATATTATAGTTTATGCTATATTGCGTCTTATTGCAGCAGCCATAAATATTACATCTCAAAAGAGAATTGAAAATAATAAATTGATTTAAAATCCAGCTTAAGATGAATTTAGATGAGATCTGAAGTCCGAGTGCATGGATGTTTATTGGTAAGTTTCAAATATTGTATACAGTATTTAGAGTGCAAATGATTAAATATTTATTAATAAATTGTATTTTCCTATATAAATATACTGATGAATAATTGAATCATCGTAATATACAAAATGATAGTGTAAACGTAATATTAGTGAGCATAACTTATGCATAGCATTATGATTATTTAATTTTATTAATCGAAAATTTAACCTAAACTTACTCATGATTAATTACGTTCTTATAGTACTAAAATATTATTTAGTATCCTCAAATTGACTTATGGATCAGAAGCTTGGAGTTGTATTTTAGTATTGTAAAGAAAATATATAGTCGCAATAAGCACAACTGTGTAATAAACTCTGATAATCCTTTTCAATCGAATGAACGCGGGAGCCGGATTTACTTCTAAGTGTGTAGCTGCAAAGTAATTTTATATAATTCTTGTGACTACCTAGTACTTAGATAATACAAACGATCTAAGACATCTACTATTCATTTTTTATTTGTAAAAAAAAAGGAAGCCGTTGTTTCCTCTTCGAGCACTTCCATTATGCGCGACTTGTTTCCCAACCAAACACGGAATTAACTATATACATAAAGTTCTCAAACGACAGCTACTTGTACACCGCATCTTTCAATAAAGAATTTAATTACCATGTACCCAAAATATTGGAACAATTTGCCATTAACGGTCTTACGTTAAATTATTATGTCTGATATATTTCTTATATAAAAGTTTTTAAATAGATATATATAATAATTTAATGACATTGTATCTTTTATTTAAAAATTTTCATTACAATATGTTATTGTAGCCGCAATAATATTATTAATAATTGTAATTGCCATCTTTTGAGTATTTTATTTTACTTATTTCTAATCTTTTATTTGACTTCTATTTTACTTTAATTATATTATATTATTATATATCACAATTATTATAATACAATTATATTATATCATAATTATTATTTATTATTTGTATTATATATAACTTATATTACGATTGTTTTACAAAATTAGTAACAATATTTACAATCGTTTATTTATAATTAATTTCATTGTTTTATGTTTATTATAAATTATATTTTAACACTAAAAATTGTAAAACATAATTGTATTATAGTGTAAATATAGTCTAATGTTTAATATAAAATTTATTCCCAAATTGATAATTATCCTGGTGTATTCGAATAAAAGTTATCAACCAATTTTACTCTTACAAAAGTTTATTATTATTCATCCCTTCGAAATAATATTTGACTTCACATCTAAAATAATAAAAAATTAGAGAAATAAAGTAACACTAATAAAATGTTTACAATTTTTTTTAACTGAAATGCTTTTACAAAAAACTTTTAAATTAAAACTTCAGAACTAAAATAAAGTATTCTTATACAATGGACATTAGGACTTGAAATTTCTAATTAAATTTTATTCCATTTTCTTTAGTAGTTAAACAGATTGTAAAATAACATATTTTTTCATATTTATTCATTTTCCAGTAAAAACTTTTTAAAAAAATTAATAAATGAAATGTTACATTATTGAAAAGAATAACATATGAAAAGAGGCATTGAAGGAACATGATTAAATTAAATAACGGTAAAATTAAACTAGAGTATATAGGTGAAGTATACATAAATTGGTCAAATTTTTTTTAGAAATTTATTAGTGTCTACTTATCAAAAGCCAATTTGAAGCCAAAATTTTGTTACGGAGCTTTCTGAATTACTCGGTTATTTGATATAATCTATCATTTTTACATTTATATATAATAAATATTTTATAGAGTTTATATATATTACAGATTATTTATTATTCAAAATGTATTTTTAACATTTATATTGGCCAGCTATTTAATATTTTGAGTTGATAATTTCATGGACAAAATGAGGAAACTTTTTTAATTGATTTTAGATGTTATTATAGATTTAGATAACCGGATTATAAATGAGTATGGTGTTTTGACTTATGTATTATTAATCTAACATACTACAAAAGTTTTTATTTTATGTATAAAAAGTATTTATCTTATCATAATTTATATGAGGCTATGTAAAATATGTTTAATAATTTTGTATGAGAAATTTAATATTATATTTATTTAAATATTTTGTATTATTTCGTTTGTAATATGATAGTATACTAATCACTATCTTCAATATAAAAATATAGTATATACCAAATTCTCTCTGTGCAATTCTAGATATAGTTCGGTATATATTGGAAAATTCATAAAAATGGAATAACATTTGTTTCTTTTGAGAATTTTAGTTATTTTCATTTATGTAATTATATTATTATTATTATTATTATTATTTATTTTTATTTATAGGATGGATGTATTTTTACATGTTACATATTTTAAAAGAAAATATATAATTAAAACTGATTCTGATTCTCATACATTAATATAAACATTTATGATTATGTTATAAATTAGTAATTAAAGAAAAGAACATATTTATTTCCAAATTTAGTAATTAGAATAAAACATTATTGTGCAATACCATTTGTATGTATGCCGAGCTTTTTAATTTATAAAAACGCATAATCTACATCAAAATATCATTATGCTCGTATTTAAAATATTTTTAAATGCATTAAATGAGATTTAATGATCATTTTACTCTTGGATTAATATTAAAAATTAACGAACTATTTAAAGTGTATTTTCATTAAAATGTTTTAATAAAACAATTACAAATTGGAAACATAATAAATTAAATCTTGATCTTGGTTGATATAACTATTAAATATTTGATTCATGAAATTTAGAAATTTTAAATAACCAAATGGAATTATAATGAATAAATTTACAAACGTATATATTATTATAATTAATATTTGAAATAAATTATCGTATTTAAAATATTAAAAATATAGTTTTTGAAATTATAATTATAAATGTTATACAAATAAAAGTCTATTTAATTATGTGTGATGTCATTGAATTTTAATTGATTATAATTTTTTTTTATAGTGCTTGATTATTTTATTATATGATTTTTATCAACTTGTTTATTATTCTTGAAAAATATCATTAACTGTTATATTTTTATAAATATATATGATATGAAAATATATGTATATATTTTATTTTATCAAAATTTTTTAAACTAGGTATTGCTTAGGCTAAGAAAACTGATAAGGATAAATTAAAAATTCATTTTTTATTTTTACAATTTCTATATTTTACAGATTATAAGGATAAATTTTACAAGTGGGACTTTATAAAGCCATCGCAATTATACCATTAAAACATCGATTAAATGATTGTTTTACAATACCGTAAATTGATTGAATTTAGCATTGAAAAATTTGATGATCTAAAAAATAAAAAACAAATACTCAATTTATTCATTACGTAAACATAAACTTTAAATTTAATCGAAGGAGATGAGTTCAGCAATCTCCGGTGACTTTCTTTCATCTTCAATTTTCGGTGTTTGTATTACTTGTTGCGGGGTCTGTTGTCCTTGCTGTTGCTGCTGCTGTTGTAATTGTTGCTGATGCTGTTGTATTTGCTGCTGCATTTGTTGTTGCTGTTGTTGCTGTTGCATAAGTTGGGTCTGCGTAAGAGGAATTCGCATGCCTTGGAGCGCCACCATATTCGTCCCGGGTATTCCCTGAATCTGCTGTGGTTGCTGCATTGATCCGTTTGCCGATAGTACCATTTGGCCAGGACCTAAATAAATGTAACATTAACATATTCATTAATATGAAAAATTTTAATTGTTCGAAATGAACAATGGCTGACGATGTAAATAATTTTGAAATTCTATAGTCACATATGATCTCCAGTATAGAATTTTGGTAAAAGTAGATAAGATAGAAATGAAGAAATGATAGTAAGCAAATGGTTCATTTTTTTCAAAAATTTAAATTTGGCAATTCATTTTTCGGTGTAAAATTAATACAAATAGAGTCAAATGAGTGTCGCAAAACCCATATTCTGAAAATATGTGAAAATAATCATTACTTCTGACTAACGTTTTAGTTTTAATATTTTAGTAAAAAAACGATAATAAAAATAATGTACGAGATTTTTTCTAAATTTATGTATTATAATTGAAATTGAATTTATTTGCTTTCATTTTTTATTTTCAGAATGTAAATTACAAATTATAACAATTTATATTAATATTTAAAAAATTTTATTTACATGGAAAACAGAATTAGAAGATGAGTGCACACTACATAGAATTGCTATAAAAGTATATTGTGTGGCAAATAAAAAATACTTTTCAAAATATTTATACAATTATTATTGACAATATTAATAATATTAATTTTTCAAAATTTATTTTAAATTAAAACTATACCAGAATCTTCAAATATAATATTTACCGTTTGAAAATTTGTAAAAAAGTAAACGCTGAAAGGAGCGAAAAATGAGAAAATAAAAAAAATACTTAATTCTATTTATTCCTTACTAGGATTTTTCAAATATAATAAAAATTAATAAAATATGTCATCTCATCTAAAAAATAATGTTTATGTTAATACAAGAAGAAAAAAACGAAAATAAATTGATAAAATTCCTGTACTGTGCATTTATTTATAATTTAATAGACATTTATTAAGAAGATTAAGGCATTTATTAAAAATGATGTTATAATTGATAAAAGTATTTTAAAGCAAAGGCAAATTAACAGAGTATTTTATCAATGACTCACCTGCCATGGGCATCCCAGTGCTAAGAGGATGGGATTGGCCCATTGGTCCGGCCATAGGCATCTGTCTAGCTATGCTCTGAGACATCATTTGTTCATGACAGGATTGTCCGATGATGATCTGCTGTCTCTGTAGGAGTCCATTGGGAACCATATGGACAGGCGCTTGTGGTCCAAGAGAGTTCGGAACCGAGTGGCTCAGCATATGACCCGTAGTGGATTGACTCTGACCCAGGTGTTGAGGAAGTAATGCCTGAGCAGCAGCCATGTGGCCTGTTGATTGTGGCACTGTTGTCGGTATGTTGCCTGACCCTTGAAGCTGCTGTTGTGCCACTGTACCCGACATCACAGGCATTTGCTGATTATACCAAACACTGTATTATTTATCATTTTCATTATTTACGATATCAAATTTAGACTTCTTTTAGTTACACTTTATTTTACAAGTTAATTTTAAAAATATCAAATTCTATCATTTTATATTCTATAATCTATAATTTTATAAAGTACTAAATATTTTTGCAAAAACAACATTATATCCAGTTATGTCAGTAAAAAGATACAATACTATTGACAACATTTGATATTCTAATTTTAAGAAATTGCACTTAAAAATATAATTTTATTATGCTATAATTTCATTATTTGCAACTTCCAATATACATTAGACATCGACTATAGCAATTTAATATTAATGAAAGTTATATCACAAATCTAAGTAATTCTAATATTCTTGTATAATCATAAATTAGATTATTAATTTCATTACAATACTTGCTTGAATTGTATAGTGATAACACGAATTTTCTTTATTTATTTCATAAATAATATATCTCTATTATTTTAGATTTTTTTTAGTACAGAGAAATTAGTCAATAAATATATAAATTATTAATACTTGCATTAATTGCTTTGAAAAAATTTATATAAAGTTTTATCAAATTTTCATTATGGGATATTGTATTAAAGATATTTCATAGAATACGTTAAGTATAGATTTTCTGAAATAATTTTAGTCTATGTTTAAATTTTTAATAAAATATTTTATATATGATTAATTTTAATTTTTTTTATTTTACCGATTGTACAGATAATTAAATTTAAAAAACTGATTAAAACTTTTTATTCGAATTTTAATTTTCAAATAAATGTCTTCATAATTAGTAATAAATAATAAAACCTATTTAATTATTTATTTAAAAAATATGATGAATAACATGAAATCTGTGAAAATAAGAAATAATATTTTTTGGTGGTTTAAGTTATTCATAACCATGAAATAGTTTTTTACTTTATACTTAACGTTTAAACTTAAATTTATAATTTTTTAAATATATTATTTTGTAAAATGCAGAATTAATTTATTTTTCTGTGTGTATAATTTTAACTATAGACAATCATAAAAACAACTGAAAAATATATTTTTTTAAATACTTTCTTTTATAATTGCAATTTATATATATTTTAAATAAACATTTGTAAATTATTATTTTTTTTACTAGTAATTAAAGTTCAACGTAAAAATCAAGCAGTTAGAATCACCAAGTAAAATAGAATTCAAATATATATTGCCTGTTCAATGTAAAAAGTACTTTATATAATATATTAAATTTAATTTCTTAAAATTCTGAAACATGTAACGTATTAAAAATTAATTTAAATATGATCTTTTATGCTATCTTTACAGTTTATTTACAGTTTTTTTATAGTTTATATTATCTGCACTGAGTTTAATTATAAAAATTCCTTAAATTCACATAGAAAATTTATTGATATTTTTATACAATTTTATAAAAAGACTTTTTATTAGATAGTACATTTTTATTTTGCCATCACAGTTCCAGATTAAAAGATAATAATTTAATTTTATTATAGTTATGCTGAAAACCTTTCAACTACGAGCATCATTACTTTATTTCATATTTTGTTAATGTTCATAAAAAGCACATTTTTCTACAGTATTATAATACAATTTATGAAGACATCAAATATTAAAATAAAAATTTCAAAATATTATAATAGTTATTTTCAATTTCTGAATCATTTATGTTTCAATAATAGGTATTGAATGTACTTTTAAAAATCGTTTAATATTTCATCTATATTAATAAAATAAATATCTTGAATCATAAATTGATTTAAGTTTTTCATAATATAATCCATCTATCTATTGAACTACTTATACAACTTTTATTAAAATATATTAATAATTATAAGACATTGAATTTATTTTAAATGAATATACATTGAAATCACATTTTGATTGTAGTTCTTTTTATAGAGAATATTTATAAATAAAAATTTTAAATACTTTATTATATTATATAATGTTTTATTAATGTTATTAATGAAATTAGTCCGATTTTTACTTTATACAAAATAATCTTTTACAATATACTTGGCGAAATGTTTTAAATATTAAATGAGTTATATCCAATATATATTTACATATAACCACTGCTTTAGTTTTAAAATTTGTTCCATTAACCATTCAATTAAATTATGATGCACTAAACTATTTAAAAGTAAGCAATGAAAATTAATTTAGATTATTTTTAAAAGTACTTTTTTTATTTAAAGTAGATATGAATATATAGTCTACAATTTTTTTTATAATAAATGGCCTTGAATATTTATTACTAACAAAAAAAGAATAAAATATATTCAAATAGATATTTTCATAAATTATATTACATTAATTACATTAACTATGTACACTAAATATATAAAACAATTTTTATAGATAATAATAATTATAAAAAAAATTAATATATAAAAATTGTTTACTACATGCAAAGATAATTCATTAAAATTCTATATTTAATTTTAAGTTGTAAGACTTATAGAACCTGATAACGATAAAAATCAGTAAACATGTAAATCTATTATTTTAAAGTAACGTCTGAACCTGTTTAAGTCAATGTATATTATTTTTTTTTTTTTAATTAAATTTTTTAGCGCACATATAACATTTTATTTTTGCTATGAGAAAAAGATCCACTTGCATATTTGAATCGATGTCATGCAGTAGATCTATCATGAATAATATATTTCTTAAATAAAAGACTGGTTTTTAATTTTATAAATATTAATTTATTCCTGTAGCTACATTTTAATATTTATAAAAACCTTTCATCTGTTTTATAAAAATATCGAAAATTTTTGTTTTACTTAAATTACATTTTCATTCATAACTGTAACAATATTACGTAAAATGTTTTGAAAATATCAGAAGTAGGAAAAAATAAACATTAAAAATAATATATATTTATATTTTATTTTACTATTAATAATAAAGATGTTTATGTACACTTACTATCCCTGGTCCTGATACTGTCACTCTACCAAGGCTTTCTTGACTTTGATTAGGTTGACTGTCAACCGTCGGCAGTTTTGATTCTGAAATGGCTGACGTATCTATAAGCTGTGTCTGATGCGGATGTTGTATTATAAAACCCGTTGGAACAGAATACGTGCCAGTGGCTCCGGCTGCATAAGTGTAAACGCTCTGCGTCTGATTAGTCGTAGGCATGGAATTATAGTTTCCTTCGGGTCCTGAATACTGAATTTGTCGAATAGGAGAACCTTGACTTGGCGGACCCATGAAACCAGCAACCGTTTGATAACCAGCTAAAATACGAAAGAGAAAATTATGATTAACCAAAACTACGTAAAATTAAAATTTTTAATGTAATAATATTGTACCGATTTTGTATTGCTGTTTCTGTTGTTCCTGACGCATTTGCATCTCCCGTTCCTGCTCTTGAATTCTACTCAACGCCAACTGACGTTGGTATTGTAAATACTCCTGTTTTTTCTTTCGCATGATCTCCAGTTTTTGAGCCATTTGCATCTGCTTCTTTCTATCAGCTTCTTGTTTTTCTCTCAACAATGCTAATCGATGTTCTTCACGAAGTGCATCCAAAGCACCCCTTGCATCCTTTATTTGGGTTAATTTATCTTGCAAACCTTCAAAATATACTCTTTTATCTTCTTGTTCTTGAATGTATCGCAAAAGTCTAAAATGATTTTAAAATTTATAAATTTATTAACAATAAATGATTTATTAAACTAAACATGATTTATTAAATATAAAAAATTTGAAATAAAATCTTATAATTTTATATATTCATTTAAAAAAAAATACCTTGAATGTAAAGCAGTTATATTCATAAACAAGGTTTGTACTGAACTATCATTGGCTATCGATCGTCCTCTGGATGAATCACTTTTCATTCGATTTACAAAAATCTCTACTTGCGACCTTAAATTATCTACAAAACTTTTCATCTCTGGGTCAACTTCACCATTTTGTTGTTTTATAGTAACAACTTTTTGAGGCATTGGGCTACTTATGTTAGGTGCTGAAGGACTTGTTACATTTAACCTTGAAGTTTGCTCTTCTAAAGCACTTTGTCGTTGCTCCCAATATTGTCGATTTAAATATTTTGCAAGTTCTGGATCAACATCTTCTTCTTCTTGAATTTTTGAAGGACTCGGAATCTATTATTTTAGTCAACCATAATTTAATTTTAAGCACTTCAAAATAACAACTATGATTTTACTTACATTATCATTCTTTAAACTTATAGGAGACGGTGGTGGTGAGTAATTAATTTTAGTAAAAGCACTAGAATTCGAAATGATTGCACTTGTAACTCGCTTTTTTTCTTTCTCTTTATGTTCAGCTTCACTTTGACTCAAAGCAAGTGCAATTTGTAATTCTTCTTCTTCTCGTAATTCTTCATCACTTTTCCTTGGTGGCACCTATTATTTAAAAATAATATCACTTTTAAAATTTAAATATGAAAACATAAATTTTAATACATTAAATAATAAAAAACATCTTTTTTAAAATATAATATATTTAATGTACAATGTTAATATACAATATTTACTTGTTGTTGTTGAGCTAAAGAACTAGTAAGATATTAAGCAGGAAGATCTGTTTCTTTTGTTGTTATAACAGGTCTGAAAATACATTAAATAATAACATCAAAATTTAAAAACTAAAATATAGATTTTTAATTTGTAAATATTTTTATCTATTACTGTTGTTTTCTATCTATTTATTAAAGTATAATAATGAATATAATTATAAATATGATTATGAATAAAAATTTAAGATTATGATAAATATTTTATTTTATAAACATTAAATTCAAAATTGAGGAGCCCTTGTAAGATTACAGTAAGATTTTACATTAATTTAATAAATCATTTTTATATATCAAATAAAAGTTAAAAAAAAATACTTTTAAAATGACTTAATCTAAAAACTGATGCTACCACAAACTACAAATATATATATTTATGTTTTAGCGTGTATACAGAAGCGTATAATAACTGACTTGTTCACTTGATCATAGCATGTGTCACATACGCGAACTTCTTTTTCAATGCCATATTTAGGTAAAGTAGAAGATTTGGCTGAACATTGACCACAAAAAACCTGACCACATGCTCTACAGTGGTGCTTTCGCATAAAAGTACTAAAAGCTACTCTACAGCGATGACATTTATCTCCATCAACCCATTCTGGTGCATTATCAGCAGTGAACATAGCATCACTTTCTTGAAAAACAGGGAATTCAAAATTTTCAGTCTTCATAATTCGCATCGTATCCTAAAAATAAATTACATGCGTTCAATGAAAATAATAGTGCTATATCAATGATAATTATAATTTATTTTGAGAAAATAGAAATTTGTTATAACACTTTATCAATTTTAAAATGTATGAAAAGTACCTGCACTGCTCTGTATTTAGATGAATTTCGAAAAGCATAAGCCCAAGCTTGAATGAGTTCTAATATTTTATTCCTCACTGCTTCTTGCTGTGTAGTTTTTGCTATTTCCTTCAATTGTTCCATGTATGGCTTTGTACAGACTTCATCATGAATTAGAGATCCACAATTTTTTACACAAGATTCCAAAACCTTATAAATATAAATTTCTCAATTAAATATTCATAAACACTATTATTATAATATTTATTTATAAGTAAAAAATAAACAAACCAACAAACCAAATACAGCTGTATGTGGGTTATCATTTGTAATCTTCTTATTTATTGCAGCAAGTGCATTTTTTGGTCTAAAAAATTGTATGTATATAATTTTATTTATAAAAAATAAATATATGTATTTTCATTTAAACACATACACACACGCACACACACACACGCGCGCGCGCGCGCGCGTTTATATGTTTTTATATATATTTAAATAAATTTATACTTTTATCCAAACACATATGTTATTATTAAAATTATGAAGCTGCTTACATTTATTATTAGGAATGAAATAAAATATAATTATATATACATATATATAAATATATATATTTATATATAATATAATATAGGTTAATAAGAAAGCAATAGTATACACAATTATTGAAGGTTATAATGTAATATTTAGAAAAAAATACAAGATAACTACTTACGGAACGTCTCCTTGACGTATTAAATCACAAATGCTCATAATTGTTAACCAATCTGATTCCAGATTGAGGTTACTTGTAGCTTTTTCTACAAATATTTATAAAATATCCAAATGTAAATTTATAAATCTTAAATAATTATACAAAGGATCTTATCAAGAAAATTATACAAACCAAGCAGTTTATTAAAATTATTACTCAAGCCGATAAGGGGCATCATTTTCACAAAGTTCGATTTCAATTACAAACGAGTAGGAATATTAACAGATATTTCCTTAATATTATATATATTCTGTAGAATAATTACTTAATTAACTATAATTTTAATAATCCTTATAATTCGATATGAATCACTCTTTTGCAACAGTATTAATAACACAATTCATCACAAAATATGATCTTAATATTTCGAATGTATACGTCACTAATCTCGGTTCTCAATTCGGCCATCATAACTGAACGTAATTCATCTTGGATTGTATAAATCTGTTTTATCGACTGTGTAACCATAGACAAATTTAATAATTACTTTCAGAAATGAAATAATAAAATTTTACATTACAAATCTAAAAATGCAATATATTTACACAGTGTTAGATATTAAATTTAAAAATATATCCATTTTAATAAAATACTTATAAAAATAAATAATACATTATTAACAAACACTTGATATGTAATTCTTCTTTAATTTTATAGAATTCAAAATACATTGGTAAATTTAATTATACCATATATTCCTACTCTTTATTTTTTAGGTTTGTATTTGTAAAAATATATAATAAAAATAAATAGACGATTTAATCAATCAAAAATAAAAAAAATTTATAGAAATATTTTAAAAAAAATAGTCAATACGTTTAACGCATTTTTAATACCAAAACTTTTACAGAAGTTGTTTTCCGGCGTAAAAGAGAAAATCAAATTGAAATAATTTTAATTAACTTGTGTAAAGCTTTATAAATAGCTTAGTAATAGCATTTAAAGTTAAAAAAAAGATCATTACAATGAAATATAAAAATATAATATCAAATTCTCTTTGCATAATTATTTTATAAAGAAAAATTTTAAGAAATTAACTATCTATTTGTTAAATATACATGTTCTTAAATTAATTAAGCATTTTTATATCGAATCAATATACAGAAACAATTAACAAAATCGTATTCACCAGGGTGTTCTACATTATTCAATTATACTCCTACATTTTTTTACTCGAAATGTGTTACTACAAAATAAAATTTGAATTTTATTAAATTAAAATTTTTTAATTTATAAATACTTACAAGAATTTCTTTTTAAAACATCTTAATAATAAAGTAATAATTTGTCAAAATTTAATATTAATTGTTAGTATAATTAAATTGAATATTTTGTAAATAATCAAACGTAAATCTGTTTGAAGTTAAAACGAATTAACTAAAAGTCTTTTTGAAATTAATTTAATTTAAATAACATATGAATATAAACATTTTTTGATAAAAATAAGTGTTTTTAATGAAGCTTTCTCAATTGATTAATAATGTTCTACCTTATATAGATATAGATAATATTATTTTAAAATTCAAAACAATTATTTATAATTTATAATTTATAATTTATAATTTAACATATAATAAAATATATATTTTATTTACCTTTAATTATCAAATGAACATTTAAGTAATATTTCTGATTAGTTTGTTTCTATCTTTTGGCAATAAGTTATAAATAAAATTATGTATTTAAACTACTAATAGATTCATAAGCAGTTTTACACATGTGCAAATCTTCGATATACGTATTCATAAAATTATATGAAAACATTTTTGAAATATTGAATATATATTGAATACATATTGACATACTTTTCAATATATCATTATTATTCATGTTAAAAGTGTACAGGATGTAAAAGTTAGACAAGTATCAGAAATATTTTTTTACTCAATTTTTAACAAAGAATAAAATTTAAGTTTTTTAATTGTATATATAAATACAAATATAATTTATATGAACATTTTTAAATAATAAAGTGCAAATGGCACACTTTGCGGTTTATAATATTATATAAAAAGAATTATTAATATATTTTTATTGCTTAATATATTTTTAAAAACTATGACTTTTTTGAAAACTTTTTACTTATTTGCAAATGTTCGTATATTTCATTAAAATTCTGTGCTGTATTTGAAAGTTTGTATAGATTTTATTTTTTATTGTGATATCACGCCAAAAAATTGGTTACAATATTTATGATATTTAAAATAATTATACATTAAATACCAAGATTTGATTTTCTTACATTGTTACATTTCTAATTATAAAATTTCATTTTACAATTATTACAAAATATAATTTACATTATAATTTATTACATAGATTGAAGCTGCGTTTGACATTTACAATTTTTATTTAAAAAACAATAATATTTGTTAATTAAACATTTCAAACCTCAGTTTTTATAATCGCTTAAAATAAATGAAAACATTTTTCTAATATCTCAAAATATTTATTTATTTTTGTATTTTTAATGCCCATGAATATGGTATATTAGATAGTGAGAAGCTAATGAATTTGATAATATTTAATTAACTTGAAAGTTTTAATGGATATTTGAGTTTTACAATAATTTTTGTAGATCAAAAGATATGATACTCTTTAATATACTATTTTTATAATTTAATATTTAACTAATTGTAACTTAATTTTTCATTATTTGACAGTTCTACTTAGTTTTTAAGTATAAATATACAAAAATAATTGATTATATAAGTTTTGTACTTTAATACTTATAATAAAAGGTATACGAACAATTTTTTTTCCTAACTTGATATTTACGTATGCTATGATTAGTCTACTTAATTAAATGTATATATACACGCATTTAATGAAAGTTTTGTTAGAAATATGTACGTAAATTTTTTTCTACTAGACATATTTATTATATGTATAAATTATTATATATATGTAAATATTATATTAAAGTTTTTTAACCCTTAACCCTGAATGTCACATTCAATTTTCTCATCTCCACTATTATAAGCAATCGGGAAAATCAAACGGAGATTCATTAAAAACTTGTTTTTTATAGAAAAATTATATAAAAAATGGTCACATTTTCTCGAATTCCCATTGATATTTATTTTTTGAATTTTCTTGATTTAATTTAGTCAACTCTAAATTTACTCATTTTATCATTTTCTATACAATTTTTCCATTATTAATTGACGTATATAAAATTTCGTGATTAATTATATTTAATTTAATCTAACTATTATAGATTCTTTTTGTTAATAAAACAATATTTTATACATAAATACACTATTGTAAATTCGACATCTTTCTGTATCGTAACAGAATTGTAATTTAAACAGAAACAAGACTGTAAGAATATACTATTTTTAACAAAAACCTACAAAATTTGTAACAACTAAAAAAAAATATTTTATTTTCCATTTTGTCAATCAAAGAATAAATAATAATAAATGGAAATTGTATGCAACTTAAATAAAATATAATCCATACTATTAACATGTAAAAAAAGTATAGTAATTAAACATTCAATGAACATGTGTGTCAAGTTGCATATATTAAACTTCGCATTACTATTCCATTATAAAAAATTATTTATAAGAATAAATTAATGACTTTACTTTAGCAAGAATTTATTTTTGTAAAACCAAAGTAATTAAATAGTACTTTACTTTAATCTTTATACATATGCAACTGATAGTCACTTAGTAATGGAAAAGTGACCTGGCAGAGAGATTTCGATCTTCAACCGGGATCTCCCAACGATTCTTCCAGTTTTCATTTTCGTTCTCAATTTCATTTGACATTTTCGTGCACATGGGTAATCTTGATATTCGTTCACAGCGCCTCGACACCGACCAATACACGAAGTACTTCGGACACTTAAAAAGGTAGCCTTCAAGGTCATATCTAGAGTTACGTCCACATTTATAAAAGATATTGCTGCAGCCGTCTCTGTACGGAAAGTGGCCTTCTTCTGGACACAATGGCTTTTTTGATACCTCGATCTACAAAAACATATTTCTTTATTTTATAATAAAAATTATGTTAATTTTTCAATATGGAAGAGTTATCTTAGCCATTGAAGCCGTTTAAAATTATAATTAATAAATTTAATTAAATATTAAATTAATTAAACTTAAAAAAAATTTTTTAATTAATTTTTTTTATTAACAAATATCTTATGAAATAATATAATGTTATTTTGAAATAACACAACTACAGATAGTTAGGAATAGAAAGACGGAAATAGATAAACATAGATTTACTCATGAATTAATTTATTCAAGATACTAGATAAAAAATTATAGTGTACTCATATTCCAAAATTTAATTCAGTACGCTTAATAACACATGCATGAACGTTATACGTGGTTATTATTAATAAATTAAAACCATTTCTTACTATTGAAACGCTGTATAAAGTAATAATGTTAGTTATTTTAATTAATCAATCAAGCCCGTTGTAACCAGAAAAAGAATTTAAATACTATTTTGAATATAAAGGAAGTATACAAATATTGGAAAAGAGTGGATTACACAGAGAAAAGTTTCTTAAATGCGTACTATCAAAGGGTCAATCGAGGTGGTCAACCTTGTATAATAATGACCATTATTTCCTTAGCATACCTACCTCTATTAACAATTACTGAAAAACTTTATTGTCTTGTAACATCATCTTAAAATTTTGATTACACACCGTTAATTTATTTATAAAAAATGTATTACAAATTTAATTCATTTAATATATTTAAATAATTTAAATTTATTTTTCATATTATTTTAAATTACTGTATTCAATTTTGAAATAATTTAATGTTTATTTAAAATTGTATACTTCAATGCTTTTAATATTATAATAAAATATAGTATAATACAAAAAAAGTAAATAAAATTGATTTATAAATTGCAATATTTTAGTGTTTGCAATTACGGAGTTTTTATATTTATCAATCGATACAGCTAATAAATTACAATAACTTACCAAAGATGTAAACTCCTTATTAACTCCTCTTTGTATTCTCTTTCCAGTAATTGTTCCTTTGCAAGGTTTACTACTTTCAGATTCTGGCAGACATTTGTTCGTTTCTTCATCAAATATTGTACCTTCAGGGCATTTGAGTATAAGAATCTTGACTTCCGTATTTCCAGACATTGTACACTGATAAAATAGGTTACATAATTTAGGATGTCTTCTGAATCCAGTTGGGCACACAAGAACTATTTGTTCATCTGTGAGATTTGTTGGTGTTGGACAATTATCTGAAACTGTAGGCTTTTCGTTGGAAATTATTGTTGTTGATTCTTGAGACCCTACTGTACCCGAAGAAGCAGATATTGTTTCTTGAGTTGCAATATCAGTTGTAGATTGTTCTGATACAGATGAATTATCGGTTATACTAACTGTTGTTTCTGTACCTGCATTAGTTGTCATTTCAATCGAAGTTAATGGAAGTGCTGTTGTAGTAGATGTTTCTTCTAATACGGTTGTTTTTGTATTAGATATAGTTGTTTCGAAACCCGATGTAGTTACGTCGGAGCTTGTTATTTCAGATGTAGTTCCGTCTGAATTCAGTGTTATTGATTCGGAATTTGATATTGATTCAGAACTGGATGTTGTTTCTTCTGAACTTATTGTAGTTGTTTCCGAACTTGATATTGTAGCTTGTGATTCCAATGATGTTGATGTTGAACTTGGGTTTGTAATTTCCGAATCTGATGATGATGTTTCAGAATTAGATATTGTTATTTCTGTATTCAATGTCGTTGATTCAGAATTCATTGTCATCAAAGTAGGGCTGCCTTCTATTATACCAATAGTTGATGGTTCAGTAGTCACTAGTCCTACTGAAGAAGGTTCAGATGGTATTTCAGATGTAATAGTAGTTGTAAAAATACCATTTTGAGACTTTGTTGTAGTTTCTATACTCGTAATTCTTTGCGTTGTTGATGACTGAGATTGCGAAGAAGTACTACTTTCAGATTCACCAGTTCTACAATCTCTAACTGGATAAACAGATTCTGCATAGTTACATACTTCAATACTTGGATCAAAAATCGTTCCAACTGGACAATCAAAATAGTAGACATTAAATCCCTTCCCATTATCTACACAACGATAGAATTTATTACAGTGTGTTGGATGAGGATAGAATCCCGCATTATTGCATACAATTGTGTTGTTAGTTTTTGGTGTAACACAATCTAATTTGGTAGATTGTTCAGAGCTATCTTCTGTACGGCTTGTAGATATAGTTGAAGATGAAATTCCTGTAGACATTGATGTAGTAAAAGATTCCTGTGTACTATTGAAATTTTCTGAACTAAGGTTGATATTGATTGTAGATTGAAAGGAGTTCATTGTACCGGGTTTATATTCTGTCGGTCTTTGAGTGACAAAAGATGATTGTAAAAATGGTAACGTAGAGGATTCGCCAATAGATTCTGGTTGATTAGAATTAACTACATTTTGTAATCGATTACAAGTTGTTATTAGAGCAATATAATTACATGTCAAGAGAGATTGATCCCACGCTGTTCCCGGAGCACAATCAAAGTCATATTTAACATAACCTGAATAGTGACTGACACACCGATAGAACTTCTGACACTCATTAACATTAGCGAAGAATCCTTCACTTTGACAATTATTCTTATTAAAAATTTGAGGCTTGTTACCACTACTTGGTGAATTGATTTGCTGTTCAATACTTGGGGGTTTTTGAGGTTGTTGATGATTTGTAATTTCAGATGGTAATGTTAAAGTAGTAAGACTTGGTTTATTACTTCCAGAGTCTATATCAGTATGAGGATTTTGATTTACAGAACCAAAATCTGGTAAATTTATTCCTGATTCAGAAGGTCCACAACCTGAAATAGAATTTACGAAATTGCACGTTTGCAATTGTTGGTTCCAAGTAGTTCCTGTTCCACATTCAAAAGAGTATTGACGAAAAGATCCATTTTCGTTAACACATCGAAAAAATTTATGACAATCTTCGGGATTAGGAAAAAATCCCTCTTCTTTACAATCTTTTATAGATCCTGTAGAAAAGCATGGTTTAATGCCAGTATCTAATACTTCATTTCCATTATTGCTATTAGAAGACGATGAAGTATTTATTGTTGTTAATTGAGGCGGAATATATTCTGGACCATTTGTACTTTGAAATTGCATTGGATTTACTGGCCCCTGAGTAAGTGAAGAAATAGGGTATGTTGAATAAGTGGAATGTTGCGAATATGTTGATTGAATTGGATATTGAGTTAATTGTGGAGGAAGATACGTTGGATTTGTCGAGTTTTGAATGGATTGTGGGAAAGGATAGGGTATACCCATAGATGTCAATGTAGAGCTATTAGAATTGGACCATGGAAATTGACTAGTTTGTGTAGATGGTGGTCTAAATGAAGTATCAGATCCTGCAGTTTGGCTTGCAATTACAGATGGCTGTGTTTGATTTTGAGTTACATGATCTAAACTACAGTTAGCAACATTATATTCATGATTACAAGTTTGTATTGTTTGATCCCAAGCTGTTCCTACGCCACATGTAAAGTCGTATCTTTTTAAAATGGAGTTTTCATTAACACATCGATAGAATTTATGACAATCTTTCGGATTAGCGAAAAATCCTTCTTTCGCACATTCTGACGATGATGTGCATGACACACCTTTTATTCCACTACATTGAATTACCTCAGGTAAATCAAGATTAGATGGATAAGTTGCATGTTGAGAATCTGTTGATGATAAATAATTTATTTGCTGAGTTGTTTGTGTCTGTAAATTAGGCTCCTTCTTTTGAGTTTGTAAGTAAGAGGTTGACTGTTGAGGTTTTTGAGCTTGCACTGAATAATGCTGATATTGCGGTTTTTCAGTTTGTGAAGGATAATTAGGATAGTAAGGTTGCTGAGTCTGAGAAGGATATTTAGTTGAAGAAGGATTATGAAAGGGAGAACTAATTTCTAATTCATAATTCCAGCTGTGACTACTGCTTGATTCATTAGAATCAATTTCGTTACTTGGTTCACAACATTCTGGCCGATTACTATCGTTTGGATGTACACAAATATTGCCCTTAGATGGAGAAAAGACTGTACCAATTCCACATTCAAATTTAAAAGGCGTTAATGGACTATTATTTCCCCATTCAACGCATCTATAAAATATTCGGCAATCATTACGGTCTGGATGAAAACCTTCAGATTTGCATTCATATGAAACGCTGGTTTCAATAACATCTTGATTGCTACTTTCTTGGCGATAATAATCATAAATTTCATTATCAAAATTGTAGAAACCTACGATAAAAATATTTTAATTATTATAAAAACAAAGTGTGAGCTTTAAAATAAAATCCAAGCATATAAATTAAAAAGTAAAATAAATTGATCGTAAAAATATTGCAAGTTTTTTAAATAAAAAATTATTCTGAAAACCATAACCTTTCCTATAATTCATGAAAATCTAAAAGGGTTTAATGAATCACTTAATTAAAGTGATTAACAGTAAATAACGCGCAGCAACATAATGATAGGTCAGTGTCATGTGTAATGAATATCGTTTTGAACTCAATCATTGTCGTAAAAGAAAAGGAGAGGTAGAACAAAATGCAGACAGGGGAACAACAAGAGCCAAGTATTCGTATAAGAAAAGGTAGGTAATCGCAATCATATAATCGTAGCTCAGGTACCGGGAGTATCAAACATGAATTCCTGGGAGCGTTATCTCGCCAAGTACTGCCATTTGTGCAATGAAGATCTTGTTCTTTTTCCCCTTTATGCGTCGACTCGTAAAAAGGCATCTATAGAAAACCAGTTTGACGACAACAACGAGCGCAAAAGCCTCTCGGCTGCTACTACTAGCGGACGCCTACAGTAATTGATCGACACGAGAACGAATACACATGGAGCGTCCCAGACGTCCTTTTAATCTTTCTTTCTATACTCCTGTTCTTAAGATCATTTACGTTTGAACAATTGTACATTTAGAATAACTTCTATATAATGCTTTTTCATTACCTCCTTCTAGATTTCGTTGTTAATATTTAACTTTTCTTTCATTCAACACTATTAAATGTAATAAATATTCAATTAAATATGAATGGATAAATTCTATTATTAAAATACTGATTTGGTCGTATAATTAATGTATTAACTTTTAAATTTATATCTAGAATTTATTATGTAATATATTATTTATGATCTACTTACATAAATACTATAATTAATAAATTAATTCATTACATTATAAAAAAATATTTTCAATTGAATTTTTAGAAAATTTAAACAAAACTGTTGAAGCAGTGCGATCGCAATGATTGATTTCACTAATGAACAAAGATCATAACTGATGGAATAGTGGATATTTGTTATCAATATATATTTATATATCTGTAATAAATAATTCGAGAAGTTGAAATATGAAACTATAGACCCATGTTTGAATATCAATATAAATAATGAAGCCCTGGATGCATTATTGAGTGAAATTACCAATTCTGTTACTATGTACAGTCAATTAACATTTGAATAAACATCCATAAAAAATACTGAAAGTTTGCATACAATATTATTTCAGGGGGGAAGATTTCAAACTTAAAAGCTAATAAATATTTTAAAGCTTTATTCAGTAAATAATAAAATATTTTCAAAAGCTATTTAATTAAACAATATAATATTTTACATACTTGATAATTGATTGATTGACATAAAATGATAATTTTTAATGAAAATAATTTCTTTATACCTGCAATTAATTCCAAATCAATTATTGTTTTAAATTAGTGAAAACTTCATAATTTCAATAATGATATTTAAATGAGTATTTAATATATTTTAATATTATTTGATATACGAACTTTATATATAAATAAATTTTATTACATAAAAATAACTCATTAAAAAATATCCTATACGTTAAATATAAATTATTATTCTCTTAATCAAAAATAAAAAATGTTATTTTTTATTCCTTTTTTTTCTTGTTATTCTTTCTTTTATTATTCTATATTAATTTGTAAACTATTTATAGTAAAATATATACCCGAGTGTTAAAAGTATAAATAAATAAATATAAAATATATATAAATTAAAAAAAATAACTTCAAATACTTTAAAAATTGAAATATAATTAGAAATTGTTTGCTATGCTTACCGCCACTCTTAACGGGTCGCAAGAACGTAAGAGCTCCGAGGAAATATAGTAAATTTAGAATTTTAAGCATGATGTAGAATTACCACTTCTGTAAAGAAAAAAAGTATATTATTAACTAATAAAGAATTATATTTAATTGAATTAAGAAGGATGAATTACAGAATTATATAAACCAATGTATATCAAATCAACATTTAAATCAAAACATAATTAAAAATATAAATCTGCTGTGTAGTTAAGTGTTTTGCACAAATGTATAAAGCTTTTTAGTATAGAATTTGAAATTGAAAAATGTAATATAATTTAATTAATCAAAAGAATCATCAAATAAATCATAATTAAAACAAGTATTATGAAATATAATAAAGAAAAAATAAACATTTGTAAATGTATTTATTATGTATCTATGCAATGTATTGTCTTGAAAATTATTAGACATTTATAAAAATTTATAAAAACGAAATTACTTGCAATATTAATTTTATTTAAAAAATTGTTAATTATGATTAATTATGATAAAAATAAAAATAAAAAATAAAAAGCCATTGAAAAATATATTATTTATAAATCAAATTGGTATATAAACAAAATTAATTTAAGATGCCTATAAAATTTAAGATTACATAAATGAAACTGTAATTCATTTTTTAAAATATATTTCTTAATATTCATATATTATTCATAATAATTCATATTCATAATAATGAATATTCATAATAATATATTCATTTTTCTTATTTATTATTTGAACGAAACTAACTTTAATAGGCGAACTTAAGAAATTTGCATTGATAAAAATAAATATCTTTATCAGAAGAACTCTAAAAATGTATATAAATGTAACATAAAATTTATATATATAAACATATATATTGTATAGACACAACTTTTCATCTCATGAATAATAGACGTATCGATTAAATATTTTATAAAATAAAAAGGGCATATATATATATATATATATATATAGATTTGGATAAATATTTGTATTAAATTTGTTATTTTATATTAAATAATAATTATTATCTAGGTTTCTGCTTTTTCTTTAAAATAATATACATCGTTTGTTTCCTTTTTTTTATTACGTATAAGTAAGTTAAATTGGTTAAGCTGACTTCGAAAAACAAATCTTTAATCATAGTAAAACTGAAAGTAAGACTTCGGCCAATGCAACACCACACTCAACTGTTTTTAATTCTTTGAAAATAGTTCATTGTGCAGTAAATTAGACAGAAAAACTATTGTGATGCATACAAAGTATGTTACGGAGCTCTTCTGTAATTATTCAAGTTTTCAAAAATCTTGAAGTCCCAACTTGTATACGAGTTCAGAATCGCTAACTCTGCTCTAATGAAATGTCGCGATCCGCTTGGCGTTAGTCCAGCCTGATCTTATCTACTTATCGTGCAACGGTGATTTTTTGCTTCCTTCTGCACCGTCTCTTCGTCGTCTTCGTTGTTTTTCTCCTATACTTCGACGTTCGTTAAGCGATATATCGTGCAGGCCTAGCATGATGCATGAGAGGAACGTTATTGGCCATTAGAGTCGTTATGGGGAGCCGATCGTGTCGCTTGAAAATTCACGATTAACACGCGCTTAATTTAATTCTAAAACTCGTAATCATGTTGCCGCATCAACAGTTGAATCGGTATTAATTATGTTTAAGATCAACACATTGCTTGACGTGGAGACAATTGGGCGCGACTTGATGAATCTTCAAAAGTTTGACTGCGTAATGCCGAAATTATTAGATTCAAACACAGTACACACACGCTTGGACATTTATAAATATTACATTACGATAATGAAGTGATAATGTGAACATTTTACTATTATCAATCTGTCAACAGAACTGCCTGTTTGACTTCACATTCCCATTTTTTTATAGAAGAGGGTATAGAATTAGATTTTAATTAATGAATAATAAAGTACAGTTTTTACATAAAAAGATAAATTTTATTGAATAAAAGCTTTAATGATAACATGAGATTTATTAAATTTACATTTTTAAATATTAATATGAAAAATATATAATTACTCTCTAGTCTGTCAATAATACAAATTACTGTATTTTAATGGTATTAAAATAATAAAGTTAGCTATGAAAATTAAATTTGAAATGTAAGTCATACATATGTAACTGAATATAAAATATGTCTATAAATATATATTGATTCAATTTTTGATTCAATTATTATAATGAAGTACATTCAATTTTGTAATATCTTAGTAGAATCAAATCAATCAAATTTTGCATTCTCAGTTTTCAGCAATTTCACAGCAAGCATATTACCAAATATTGAATTAAATAAAGTTGCCGATAAAATAAAGTGTCGGGAATGAGTTATTATAAGGACCGCGATCAGCATCAGTAGCAACTCGTAAAAAACAAAGACCAACGAGCTCTGGCTAGAAGCTAACAGTAAATACGAAGTCCAGAATCCAGGTAGGATGAGAAGAAGTTAGCAAAGGGAGCAAAGGACTCGGACAAAAGGACGAACTGATGGGAAGACCTCGATAACTATTCGATAGCCATATCTTTGATGTTTCAAGCGGAATTTATGCGCCAGCATCTGTACTCGACCTGGTCTTCCTAGTTTCGGCACGGCTCCGACTATCATCGACGATCGCTATTAACATGTTTCACGCTTCTCAATTTTACGTTACGATTCACAACAGCTTCCGATACTACCCGGAATTCACGTAATTGTTAAAAACCTATGCGAATTTCAAAATTACAATGAATATATTGTAATATCAATAGAATATCACACAATTGTGATAAAAATATAAGAATATTCTCCTTGGAATTCGAATACTTCAGTTTATACTTTTGTCAAACTTAGAAGGAACTAATGCATATAATTCGATAAAAAATTGAATATTATTTCTCATAAATGTTAAGTAACACAAATATTACTATTTTAATAATGTCATAGTTTTATTTTATATTTTATCTTATTTACTGAAATAAAATATCTGCCATTGATGATCGATTTTTCAAGTTATGGTAACAAAACATTCTGGATAAAATGATGAATAATTATGACATTATATACTTACTGTAATATAAAAAATACATTAGGTAAGTATTGTACATTCAAATAAATGTAAAAGATAATTCGAGATCATTTTATTATAAGAGAAAATCTTACACTTATCTGAATAATATAAGCTTTTATAAATCCAATACTAATGGAAACATAGGTTTTTTTGTTTTTTTATTAATATTACATATTATCGGAACTTATTTTGATTACAAAAAAATTTCATAATCGAAATTATAACTTTTGGTATAAAGTATAAAGTATTCTTAAAAATGGTTTTAATAAAAAGTGAAATATTAAATAAATTTATGTACTATGATTAATAATGTAACTGAATATTAATAGTAATGATTGTTTTTTATTATTGATGTAAGTA